AGAGGCCAAAACATCCGTTAGGTCCAACGGTAGAGATATATACTCTACAGCTAAACTTACAATGAAAGTCAGTTATCACACCATTGGTTATTAAGTCGTCATTATACAATGCAACAGTGTCAGACACAACTTTCTGAACTACAAGTCCGCACCCGCGACCATGAAGAAAGCTGCTGAAAAAATTTTCTCTCTTGCAATCTTCGCAAATCTTTTTTTTATAATTTTTACTGAGGGTTGGCATTTCTGAGCTTCCAATATATGCAAACTATCTTAAGATCAACGTTTCCTGCAGAATGTGCATGACAGTTAGTTCTTTTCTTTTAAGCCCAATTTAATAATTTAACCAATTGCATGTAGGCTTAGAAGTTGGGTTGCAGTGATGTGATCCACTTGAACAGACGAACTTAAACGAGAGATTTTTCCTTGTATTGCAACTTTAACTCTTCCAGCCCCACTGGCTCGCCTCCGAACTTTCCGTCCGCAATCTCTTTGCCGAGTCTTTCTTATTCGACGCTGCTACTGATGAATCCAACAGCTTTCTGCGAAGACAGAGGAATTTGCAGAAACTCAGCAAATTGCGATTTATTGGCTATTCGTTCCCCGAATCGGATAAAGAAATACAAGACTCTGAATCTCCAGACGGCACTGAGACCACATATGAAGTGGAACCTCTGCATGGAGAGAGGGTGGCAGGCGATGATAAGTCTTCACCGCTGTCCTCTCCACTGCTTGCAGACAGTCTGTGTTCCTGTCCCTCGTACGTTCTATCCACTTCAGACAATGCAGATCGCCTGTGGTTTGCCGTGGCAGACGAATCCCCTGGCTCAGACGCCGTCTTCATTTTCGATCCGGGCTCGCCACCAGTTCGAGATGTCTGGTTGACGGAACTGAAGGATATTCAGCAAATGCAGGCGGACATTCAGCTGGCGCTGCAGAATCCCAAGCGCTTTCTTGCCGCAATTCGACGACAGCCACACTCAATGGTGTCACTGACTAGCAGTGTTTACGAACACAAACCTCGGCTTAAATATCAATCCTCCGCCTTAGAGTTGCGATCGCATGCAAGTCCACATCCATGGTGTTCTTTGGAAAAAGACCATTCAGGTAAGTATTCTATAATACATTTACGCAATAGTCAATCACTGTTGGTATGCTTCACCTCTATGCTATACATATAAATGGAGTTGAATTTCGGGAACGTCAGCTAGCAAATTTTGTTTTTGCACCTCTTCGAACCCAAGATTTTTTGTGCACATAAATCATTTTTTTTTGTTTTTAATCCGTTTATACCGTAGGGTTTTAAATACTAGTAGTTGTCCTGTCAGAAAAAAATGTTTTGTTCATTTTTTTATCGCATTAGAAATGAATATGCTAGCTTGAAGTAAATCCCTGGGACTTAAACCTAATAATATTTGTCCAACATAAAGATGAGTATTTGGGCCAAAATCCATCAGCAACATCCAACAGGGAAGCCACTGATTATCCTAAAAATACCAAAAGATTTTAATGACAAAGTTGCAAGAAATTCGACTCGTCGATGCCCTTCCCAGCGTTCCAAGTGTAAATTGTTGTAGATATGTCAATTTTTTATGTCAGCTTTTGAGTGTCTGTAAACATTGTTGCTGTACAGTGGACCAACTCCTTCGAGATAAACCCACAAAGGGCTCGGGTGATTTACCAGATTTAAAGCATTCATACTCGAGGAAATGAAAAACCGGGAATAGTAAAACTGGAACATCTACAAGAAAATACATGGGAATCGTTGGTCATAGGAAACCCCCGTCGTTATGGCGTTCAGTCGCAGAATATCGACAAACTATATATGTGGGCTTTAAGCCGTCAATATGGTAAAACATCCGTAATAACAATAATTATTGTGGATGTTTAGATTTGAGAAATGACTGCTATTAAATCAGTTTAGAAAGCGCACACTATATTATGAAAATCAACAGAATTGGAGCTATCTTCTGTGAATTTCAGGCCTATACTAGTATTTTCATGCGGTCATTTGACATTACTGTTAGCCGTGTTTAGCCAGATGGCTAAGCTAACTAGACGAAATCATCGACAGCTGTTGACAATAAACTCATGTGGACTATTTCTATTTATTTTAAATTTAGGAGATACTTCTGAATGAAATGACGATTGAAATACAACTCTTAGCTTAAATATAATATGCTGTATGCAACGGTTGTCCAAAAACTTTGACTGTTTGACCATTTTTTACACATCAACTATGACCCAGATGATTAATATTCGCATGGGATTGAAAAAAATATATTTTATTTAAATACCCTCATCCAAGTTAAAATGCAAATGAAAAGTTGTCGGTTGTCCGGATGAGGGTATTTAGAGGGTTAGTGAAACACCTTGGTTAAGCTAACATTAAAGTGTCTGATCCTTCCTAAAATACAATAAAATATCTGTCTGGAAAACGTCTGTTGCTAATCTTTGAGAAAATGTGCGGAAGGAGTGCTGGTTTCCGACTTCGTTTTTTCCAGTTTTCTAAAAGCTAGTTCATGGAATAGAGGTTATCACCATCGAAGTAATATTTGCCTCTCCATACTGTTTCCTGTCAGTTAACAGTCACAAAAAACACTCACAAGACCAGACAAAACGTCAGATATACAAATTCCAATGGTGAGGCAGAACTTTGTAAATACACCAGTATTTTGTGTCTACAACATAATTTTTGTGCACTTTATGGAAGTGTGCTGTATTGACGGTATAGACTGTAGAACACTAATTGACATTGCTAAAATAGCGAGTACGCTTTTTCAGATAAAAATGCTCTGATCACTTGCGTGACACCTACATCTAGCTGTTTTTTTTGCAAAAGGACTTAAGCTACTAGGCTGTTTTTCCTGAAAAATCACTGCTTTTTAGTTGCTTAATGCAAAGGTGTGGCCAGAAAAACCCAACCACAAGATTGTCGCATAAAAGATATGCCGCCTAGACGCAACGATGGATGGAAGTTAGCTTTTATGAATATGCCAGGCAAAGTGGTTCATCGGCGAAGCAGAAATGAATTTACGGCCTGATGGTAACACCTTCAAAAGTCAGGAGGACAATCATTTAAATTACCATATGTTGGGTTGCGAATCGTGTGGAAGACAGGTAAACCAGCTTGACATGCATTTAAATTGAAAATTTAGTGAAGGCAAAAAAAACTAAAAAGCACGGTGCAATGATGCGTAAGTGTAAAAATATCTTAGAGGGAAATTTGAATGATCAAGTTAATGGGGTCAAAGGTAAACATGCGGTCAAGTCTGTTCATCATCATATGCAAATTATTCGCGAGAACAGGGGAGAGGGGATTGGGGAACGATTAAGGATGGCTAGTTAGGCGGCAGTGAGGTTTCTTGAAGCCAAACCAAGGGAGGGTAGAAGAGAGAGAAAAAACACGAAACAATGCAGGCCGTTAATTTATTTTTGGCCAGGCCAAGCTGGGAGCTTGCAGGTGGTTCTTTTGCGCGCATAAAACAGGCTTACTAAACTGAAAAGCGGTTGCTTCTACCGTTGCTGACAAAAGCTGACCCCGGGACTTGGGTAGTTTGGTGGGAACTTATACATCACCCGGGAGGCTTCGTTGGAGTCCACTAGATGTCCAGAATCAAAGACATGCGCCAGAATAGCGCTGTTTATGCTCCTGACTTCACCTTTTTTCAGCCATGCCGGGAGGTGTTCCTTTATTCTTTTGGATAGGCGCCGACTCGTGCGAACAATTTGAGCTGCTCCACAGGAGCAAGTAAAGGAGTAAAGCGGGTGGTCTGAGCCGGTAACCTGTCCTTAAATTCCCGTGTAAGACCGGAGTGGTTGTGAATAATACCCGACACTGTCGCTGCTGGGAAGGTTTGTGACACGACTTGGCCAGGGCGTCTTTTCGGGGGTTCACTTTCCACATTCCCTTGAAAGTGGACTTGAGAGGAATAATGTTTTCTTATCCCTACTAAGCTTGATAGGCTTTATTTGTTTCACAGCCAAATTCCCTGTACTCCATCTCTCAGGATACCGGTTCTCGCGAATCAGGCCTCAGCTTTTCCTGCGCTCCTCCTCAAAAGTATATTGAACAAATTTTTCTAGCCCTTTGTACTAAACAGTGAACTAGATTTCGCTTCTGTTCGAGAGGTACGAACCGTTAAAGTTCATATGTTGTTCTCAATGCTAATTTGCATGTAACGATGAACATAATTGACCGTATGTTTATCCTTGAACCCCTTCCCATATAAATGTAATGGTCCGATGACAACTGTTGCTATTCTGATTTACCGACATAATTTTAGAGACGCTCAGATTTAAACCAAATGTTTTAAGTAATGCACTAAAAATTACATAGAAAAGCGAGTTTTATGAAAATATACCAGACATTCCTGGTTGAAGTTTGGAGATTTGGCGAATTATGTGGCTCTATAATTTATTTGTGGGTATCCTTTATGCGACCTCTTCGATGAATAGAGGAATCGAAAGGAGCGCCCCGTAACACACTTTGTATTGCGCTAAAGTGATGGATGGTTAGCTCTTAACGTAGAACTAATTATCATTAACGCTCAACCTCAATTTCCTCGAAACATAACCGTAGCCCAAACTATCTTACGGAGCATTCTTATTTGCCAGTCCTGCAAGCAGGAGGGTGATAGAAGACTCCATGCGAACATTTATCTAGATGGAAGTTTCAACGAAGCTTGCAAAAGACTGTAAGTTAATTTTTATTAGTGAGTTTTTTATAAGATATGTCTAATTTTTAATTTTTCCAACGGAGATTCATAAAGTATAGTTCGTTAAGTCCTGTGGAGTAGCGAAAGCTGGCCGTGGTCTGTAAGAACAAGCAATCACGACAACTATTTTAGAACCCTATATTCAACCGTAAAATTGTCTACTATACACGCCAAATTTAATTTTAATCTTGCAGATCCGAAACCATTGCACATACGTGGTGTTTCGGCACCAACCATGACGATTAAAAAGGAAGACAGTTTGGAGGAAATAACGAAAATCAACGCGATTAGTTTTGCAAATCCGGTAAGTACACTACGTCTTTTACTTAAATCGAGAATATAAATTATATTAAGATTATTGCCTCTGCTTGACGAAGGCTTAGTTTCTAGCAGATTATGGTCGCACTTTAAGAAAACTAAATAAATAATTTTTTTAATGTCATGCAATTGCATTTCTACACGCCTTATGCTAGTTAAAAGGTATAACCACGAGAGAACCCCACAATTCGGAAATCGAAATAAAACGATGCATGTTTCTGTTTCTCAACAATTGTCAATACGCAGAATCACTGACTGTGAGTTAAGTTGCATTTTCATGGTTAAATTAACGTTTTTTTCTAAACGCTAATCACACAAATATGGAACCCTCAGACACTACAAATTCCGCGACTAGTACATGTGACTATACGTATTACCATCAAATGAATACGCTACCTTTTTTTTTAGAAAGAATGCACTTGCGGCCGAGCACACAAGAACTACTAATAATCTTGTCTTTAAGAGGCCACTGCGTATCCGTTGACAAACTATTCGTTACTGTGTATTGGGATTTTGAAGAGTCATGTCGACTGTTATAAACTGGGGTACACGTTTCGTGCATGGCGTGGATTGCGCAACAGTAGGCATTATTTGCTACCTCTCAGACATTTTTACGCATATAATGAAATAACACCAATCCCAACGAAGATGTAACTTAAACGGTAAATTACTATCTCAAAATACTTCATCGATTAAAAATTCTTACTAAAATAAAACTGGTTATGTGCAAAATTTCGCTGCTTCCTTAGGAATTTGTGATTTTGATATCACTTTATATTTTGCACATTTTGTGAACTTTGCTATATCAATTTTTACTCACACATAATCCTTAGCAATTAAAGTCGCACAACTTTTCCAAGGGTCACAGAAACAGGAATGCTCTCATACAAGTCATTCTTTGCTGACTTAGTAACTGCCAAATTTTCAGATCAAGTTTATAAAGTTATTTTAGCAAAGTCTTCTGCCTCCCGCAAGGTGTGTAAATTACTTTCAGAAATCAGCGTTATAGTAGGTTATTTTGAATATTTTGAGAAAAAGGGCTGTTTGACCGTTTGTTTTACAGCCAACTCTGTTCCAGTTTATGGAGTCAACTTCTTTAAAAATGTAATAGACCAATCACATCGCGAGAAGTTTTAAAATGGGGAGATGATTACCAGTTAGGCTGACAAAATAAAGTGTTTGCCTTTCTTTAACAGACTTTAGCAAGATGTGCGAAAGGCAAGCAGTTAGTGCAATGTCTGAACAACCCTTATCGGAATGAGAAGACCAACGTTCGTCTAAACCGCCAAAACTCCGTTCACCAACTTATAACATGTCTCAAACGTTGTTACCAAATTCAACAAACCTTCGTGCATTTGAATATTCTCTGCTTGGCAGATTTAGCCATTTGCAATCGATAAGGGTTTTTGAAGCCAATAAAAATACTAACATGCTTGCACCTAATTAGTGACCCCAACACAGGCCGCCCAGTTAACACCCAAACACACTGCAAAACAATTGTTAACTGGCAAAATCACTGTTGTTATCCTCCATCTTTAATAAAAAGTTTGCTTTTTGAATTTGATGGTTAAAAGCAAGCCTAGAATGTTTTTTGTTCTTTCTAGACGCATATAATTTAAAAACGAACGTACAAAAGCCCTGTATTACAGTTGTGATTTCCCGAGTGGTTGGTGACGACACTATCAAGGGTCTTTCATCAATAGAGCGTGTCCGCTGAGGAGCTCAGAAGTAGGACACTGAAAAGGGTAAACGAGGGTAATTGCGCGTCTAGTTCAGCGATGAGAGATCTTGATAACTCGTAGATACAGTAGCTACAAGCGTTTGCAGGGACCTCTCTTGAATGTTTATCAAGTAACAGAAGTTAAATAGCATTCAGACTCAATACGTGATGTAGGTTACTTACCCAGGGTAACCCCAGTAAGATAAAATTGTCAGGTTTAAGCCTGGAGAATTAATATGCTAGGGTACATCCACTTATTTATTTTAGACGTGGATTAGCTAGGACAACATTTTTGAAACAAGACTTGTATTTGTACTGCGTTATTGGCCAGGCAGTGCCGCAATTGGAAATCAAATTATGGCAAGCTCATAACTGTTGCAATAAAGGAAGCAAATGTTTTCAGCCTCGGAGATCATATCAGAATTAAGGCTATCGACTTCTTTCAGATTAATCCATATATAACAACATACAACCAAGAGGGACGGTTACTGGTCTTCAAACCTTGGAAATTATGGTGCCAGCTATTGAGCAGAGAAACTTTTACAGTAAAAGAGATTTTGGAAGCCATTATTCTATATTGGTTGTTTACAGAAGAGTTGAGTGCTGTATCATATTGCAAATTGGTTGCGGATATTTACTACTAAGGGCCTATTTCATGCAAAGTAAAAACAAACTTGCAAAGTCAACAACATTTGTTATTCTTGACATGTTTAACTGGACTTCCCGCTAAATAAAATAGGACGATTGTTAAGATCATTTCATTTATTCAATTCAAACTGTACTTACTATTTTGCATCGTGCAGACAGATGAACCATATGGAAAAAATACAATAAAGAATGTCCACCGCGACATACGGCGCATCACAATTTCCACGGGAGATGTCTAGGTTAACTCTATTTTCCTAGTTCGATCTGCTCCCTCTGATAGGTGGCACTAATGCGTAGGATGTAGTCCTCAGGTGTAGGCACATCAA